CCTTCCTCAGAGCCTGGAAGTATTTTATGTAACAGCAGCTTTATTCGGTGGGATATCTATAGTATTAATGAAGATGAAACTTTCAAATAAATGCCATATTGACCAAAAAAGATACTCACCGTACCGTTGCGAGTGGGACTGACTTGCGTGTTGTTCACATGAGGTCGTGAGCGAGACCCTATCAGTGCAAAAAATCCTTTTGAAATAGGGCGCTAGATCACGTGTGATAGTGACGCATTCGTCTTTTCTGTTCATATTTGAATTTTTGAAATTTATCCAAAACGCCTCAAGAGTTCTTCGCGTTGATGTTTTCGACTCCTGTTCGAGGATCCGGACATTCATTTCAAAATCATCGCCATTGTGCTTTTGTGCCTTATGTGTACCCAGACGAGTACTTTGACGAATTTGGACTTTCCCCTCTAGGTTTTCCTTTATGATGACACAAAGTGGTCTACCCGTTTTCCCTATGTATTCCTCACACCATGCCTTACACGAGATCCAGTATATTTTACCTGAACTCATGCAATCCCAGTCTTTCCCGTTTAGGCAGACCGTACAGTTTTCTGAGCCGCGCAAACGATCATAAAGGTGATTGCGGACTAATTGACGGCGTAGGGCATTGGGTAGGAGGTCAATAACCTCCACATAATTTTTAAGACCACTTTTTTCGAGACCGTCCAGGCTCTGAGGAAGACGAAATTTCCGAAACGTTAGCTATCGACCAACAACTACAACAGCGACAACGGAAACGTATACCAACCTCGCATCAGGTAAACAAGATCAGTTTGTAGGATCATATAATTAAATATATCATCTATTTCTGCCGAGGTTCGTAGAAAGTCGGTTTAAATTATCAATATGATCTACTAATTTAGGACTGTGAGGCCTATGAACAGTACTGTTCAACTGATCGACTCCCTTTCCACTTACCATTCAGATACAGGCGGTTCCAATTACTATCTATTGCAGTCCCTGTTTTTCTGTTTATATTGTTCGTCAGAAGACATCATTCCGGTTCGTTGCACTTCCAGTACAAAATTTCTTTCCTTGTGTGATCCTTCGTGTAGAAGATTATTCTGATGTTCCAACATTTTTATACTCTTCTGTTTCCAAAATCTAGTCGACTTTGGTATTTTGCTAGAAGCTCATACACGTGAGTTCCGATATATGGGACTTACTGTTTTTCCTTATTTACATTCCGTCGTCAGTCTCGTGCCAGGAAGAAAAGCTGCAGTGTACTGCACTTTCATACCGTTGTATGCTACGGCCGTTTTTGGGAATAAAGAACAGGGAGGAGCCTCATAGCTGTTTTCCCATTTTCCTGTCTTCAATCCTGTTTAGCTACCAAGACACTTGGTGGTGTTTTACGATGCGATCCAGAAGTGATGAAGCCGTCTGCCAAAACACCTGATGACGTCAATCAAGTTCGACCAGCTGATATAAATGTCATTGCTGCAATGGGTGACTCAATCACGGCAAGTTTTATGTTTTCTCTCCTGGTTGCCAGCGTCTAGGTCTAGGAATTTTGTTCGTAATCTTTCTTGAGTTTGTAGAATTTGTTTGAAGGTGGCTGAGCTGTCGAGAAATTACGATGATGATCCATATAATGTCTATCCCGGAAATTCGTATGTTATTGGAGGTGATGAAACACTCGAAAAGCACATATCTGTGGCCAGTGAGTGCCTTCCACATTGTTGCATTACACTAAAGGAGCGTTAGATAGCCAGTGGTACAACATACTTTGTTATGATTCATTGTATCATGGTGATATTGCAGCACATGATTATGAAAACCGTTCCAACAAATTTGGGTTAGTAAGCACTAAGCATGGTGATATTCGCAGCACATGGTTATGACAACCGTCCCAACACACTTAGGTTAGCAGCTACTAAGTAGTAAAGAGAAGAATACTGTTTTGGCTGTAACCTTTGCCTATCGTAAAATTTTAATTTTTTTAAAATTTTGTTTAGTTAATGCGTTTTTTTGGGTTTGAAACCGACCAGTGCAATAGAGCGGGGACAGAAAACTAGTAAACTAAGAAGAGGAGAAGTCATGCAGTTTCAGTGTCTTTATCTTTTAAGAACACCTTTTCATACTCGCGTTCTTTGCTATTATCTGATCAACCCCAACAAGTAGCTGTAAACTGTAGTCTATTCAGTAATAGTAAGGCTAATTCATGTTGATATTTTGAGGTAATGCGGTGGTATGTAATTTTTCCATTCTTCAAAGCACATGTTCTCATGAAGTAATCTTGTTGAACTGATGCGCGGTAGGTATAAGTCGTCGTCGTTGTTGCTCTTTTTGGTCGATGGCTGACATTTCGGCGATTACGCTTTATTCAGAGTCGTTCTGTTACGAGTGGAACTCTCCTTAATGTCTCATCTCTATGTGGAAAGATTATTTGTGCCAATAATTATGATATTATCAATTAATCTGTGCAGTTGATGAGAGCGAATTGGAAGCGTTCTGCAAGTAGTGAAAGGGGATGTTTTTTCTCGTGCATACTTAAGTAAATCATCTTCGCATGTTTTGTAGTTCTCAGTGCTTACGTTTACATGTGCTTGGGTGGGGGCACCTTTTTAACAGCCCTTCTTGAAGCTGTTTTGGTTCTTAATACTCAAAAGACCGACTTTCTATAGACCTCAGCATAGATATTTGATATATTTATTTACATGATCTTATAAACTGATCTGCTTTAGCTGATGCGAGGTTGGTATAGGCCTTCCCTGTCGTTGTCGTTGTTGTTCAGGGAGTGTTGTCCCACCCGTAACATCACGGTTCTAAGGAAGGCGAAATCGCCGAAAGGTCAGCCAACATCGACCAACAAGAACAACAGCAGCAGCAACAACAACGACAATGTTTTGATTTTATGAAAATCCGCACTACAGCTTTGCTTGAACTACCAACAGCCTTCTCTGCTGACTATGTAGGGACCCCATCGAATGTTTTATTGACGCAACTAACGCCGCTCGTTGTTTTCTACTCGTTTTTTCACTCTGGCTATCCATATTCACAAAAGATTCCAGACATGAAGCACTAGTCCGATTTGATCTATCTAGGCTATCATTTTCTCTGCCTGCTTGCCTTTTGTAGGAACAGTCTCTGCTTCTGTAGTACCATAGGAGAAGCTGAGGTTGTCGTCGGTAAAACGATGGATGAAAAGAATTTGTTCATCAGCATCTTTCTATTTTTGACTCATTCAAGTGATTGCGTACATCGTCATAATGCGGTGGCTCGTCGTTTTTCCTTACCAGTTGCAATACCACTTGATGAAAAGGCTATAAGATCGCGGGACAATGACTATTGCAACCAACGTTTTTGTGTCGGACGCGGTTTAACCCTAGTCAACTAGGCGGACTCAAAGAATCTGGTCTCCACACTGTCGAATGCTTTCTTGTTGGTCAGCGATGATCATGATTTGGAATAGATAGCATTTGTAGTGGACTTCTGTGACTCCAAAGAGTGTTTGGAAGTTGTTAATGAATCTAGATCGCTTGTGAGAATGAGTTTGCTCTATTGGTTGGGTTTCATTCAGGTTCCATGTGATGCGCGTTAGGATGGTTCTTATGAGAAGGTTTTAGTAATGCACTCAATTCGATTTCGATAGAAAAATGTTCGGCGTGTTTATCTTATTTGATAGATCGAATTATGTGTGATTCTCTGATTTTCAATGATAGGAAAAAAGTATATGACAAAGGAATTGCGTAGGAGAAGGAGAGCAGGTTGTGCCACGTATTAGCTTTTGCAGAGAAACCGGCAACTAACGGTTGGACCCAATTAACTACACTTGTTTTACACGACATCGTGTCCCACGCAGTATTTGAGTTTGAGAAATCGATCAGCACTAAGTTTAAGTCACCTCCACCTGCTATAGACCGCTTGAGAAGTGTGATTCTCAAGAGCGTTTTCGAGTGGTCTGTGAGGCTATATCGCTTGCGAAATTCAGTTTGCTGTGTTGATTGGATTTCATTTAGGTTCTATGTGATGCGCGTGAGGATGTTTTCGTGGGAAGGTTTAGAAATGCACTCAATCGGTTAATCGAAAATAATCGCAAACTTCATCGTTATTGCTTTTGTGCAAGATAACGATGCGCCAAGTGTTTAATTTGTTACGTGTCCATTTCGTTTCCAGGTACAACGCCATATTCTCTGTGAAAAAAGCATGCAGTTGATTGTCGTTAGATATTTTTACTACATTGTCGCAAGATTTGAGTTTGACACGTAATTTGGAGGGGAAATAGTCACGCTGAGCCTACGCAGCACCATTGGTTTGTTCCTAGAAAAGAAAAACCGCCACTGGGCGTGGGAATCGTCCAATACCACATGGTCGTGTGATGATGTCTCACCTCTATTCGACCTTTTTGTTCCATTTTCCATCACTGCTTTTTTATTGCACGGATTACAATCTGTCGAAAGCCGGCAAAGAAATGTAAGCAACCAAAAAGACAGTTGTTTTATGATGACAACATGATGACAACATTTTGAACAGAGTTCTCTCTGTACATTTTAGGCTGATCGAGGATGACTAGAGCGGGCCTTACGAACTGCTCTTCAAGGTTCCTTCTAACTGTGCTAAATGCGCCGTATATGCTTGTCTAAGAAGTTTGGATCCGATTTCGAATACCATCAGAGATTTGCGCTCCCCAGATCAACCCCGCTGACGGGTGATTGCTGTGGCAAAAAGATCGATAGAAATAGCTGAGAGACGTGCGAAACAAAGGACCCGCATGGTGTGGTGGTGAACGCGTTACTCCCCGGAAAGGATAATAGCGCGTTCGTTCCCCACCATAGACACCTGCGGTCCAGAGTTTTGCAAATATCTCAGCAACATTGTGGTTGTATTTCGCTTAGTAACCTGCCATGAAAATTATAGAAGGCAGAAAACAAAACGTTAAACCATCAGAGTTGTTCGAAGAAGAAGATTACAGGAAATTTAAGAGGAAGTTGAAGAAAGATGGAAAAGAGGTGAAGGAAAGCGGCCATCGGCATCTAGCATTTTTATTAGGTTATAAAATTTTTTATGTGAGGATTCACTCGCAGCATTATCGCATCGAACTCTCCATCGAATCCCAAAATTCTCGCTGGAGAAAAACCATCGCGGGTTTTTCCTTCCGAAGAACGAACTGAAACATGAACACAAGCGCAGTTCATGGGCCAAACAACATTGTTTGCTCTTTCGAGCTGAAAGGTACAAACTGGCACTTTTCGTGGACTATATGCTAACAAATTTTCAAAACTAGAGTATCCCACATCACTGGGCGATGCTGTGCCTGGTCATGCTGCAAAAGAAAGTTAGATGAAGGGATATTTCTAATGTAATCGAGTCTGCTTGTTGACCATGACGCTACAAGCACCTTACAAAGATTGTTCTGTCTCATAGAGCAACTAGCGACTGCTAACCCTCTTGTATTCGTAAATACCGCTCCACTTCAGACATAGTTTTTGTGCAATAAAGTCACTAAATAGCATCGAAGAAGACATAAGCATTTACAAAAATCCTCTTCGTAAATGCTTATATCTTCTTTCCTTCCATTCTGCCGATGAACTTTCCGTATTTGGAAGTGTCGTGCCAGTGAAACAAAAGCGATGCTTAAGGAAGTCATGAAAACTGAAGAGAGAATAGGCTTAGATATATGTTGAAAGAAACCACAATTCATGAAAACTCATTCTGCAATAGGGAAAATGGTCGACGTGTTTATCTGATATGAGTGGCTGAATTCAATGTGAGCCTCTGTTTTTCAATGAAGTTAGAAAATTATGAAGGATCAATTGTAAAGAAGAAAGAGAACAGCTTGCACCACGTATGAGCTTTTTTAGAAAAGCCACAAAGCAACTGATGGACCCAATTAACTACGGTTGTTGTGCCAAACAATGTCACGCTTTGTACTTGCGTTTGACTCAACGTGTTTCACGTTGTACTTCCGTTTGAGAAATGGATAAGAACTCAGTTTAATTCGTCTTTTATAGAACGTTTGAGAAGTGTCCTATAAATAGTGGCATGAAGTCGTACTGTGCAGTACAAAACTAAAGAATATGTGGTCTTCAAGATCTAGCGTGGCATACACAGAAATCAGAGTTGGATCGGTTGGTGAGGGTGGTAGATAAAGAGAGGATAAAAGCCTCCGCTGGGCCAAACATTCACTCTCTGGGTTGATTCTTTTTAGCTCGCGTTAAACAACTTTGTTGATAGTTGATACTTTAATGGCCCTAGTATAATCTCCATTTTTCGCAGATTTGCTGGTTAAGCCATTGTGGTTACCTGGAGTCCCAAGTTGAGCCTGGCCAAAGTCTCAGTCTGCCCCAGGTCTTCAACACCACGAGCTGTCCCAGCCCTTGTGGATCAGAGGGAGATTTATCACCATGCCACTTTGATACCAGGACGGTGGTGGATCCTGGTATTGGCTTACTCTTAGTTAGGCTTCCTGACGGAAACGCTGGACTCCTCATTTTGCGAGACCATGCCAGGAGATGAATTCCCCGCTGTACATCGCAGTCCGACACCCAGGAACACCTCCCAGCCACGATGAGGGAGTAAACCGTTTGGAGAAAACAACTCTGTTACGGATTTGAAATCGTGTATGGACCAATCTTTGACGCCAGCTGGATCAGTATGTGCAAAGATCACTGCCTTGACGATGGTGTATTCTGACAGCAGTTGACTACTGGGTCGCTCATGCGTATTTTGCCAACACTGAATCGAACATTTTACGATATCTTTTTCGATTTTGCGTAATTCGTACTATCTTGAAGCGCTGGTTGATTACTGGACATGACTTTTTCCCTAGCAAGCAGAGTTTTTTAATCTTTTTCGAAGATTTCCATGTCTTCTTCCTCAAGAAGGTGTAATATTGTTTGCTCATCTCATAGATTCTGCACAGTATGGATTCACTTGTGGCTTGGATCTCATACATGGAAATTTCAAAATTTCCAGCACATATTGTGCTGTCCGGTAGAGAAATAAAAATAATTCTTTTCTAGATATACTACGAGTTTTCAATCCAAGTATTGTGGGAATGTCACATGGAACTGGTTATGACAATACCGTTTTCAACGTTGCAGTAAGTGGAAGGACAAGCATGGACATCCCTAGGCAAGCAGAAGAACTTATTCATCGGATGAAAGCTAGAGGAGTTAGTGCTTTACTAAATGGTTAGAAGAATGAAGTGTCTTATAAGTTGGACTGTGGTCGCAACTTCTTGAATTGAATTGATTGCACTTTCAGGTTCGTTTAAGGGACGACTGGAAACTAATTTCGATATTCATTGGAACAAATGACTTGGGGGAATTAAGATGTTATTCGAAAGAGGTGCGGTTCTCAAATTTTCTTTTAAATGGTCAAGTCAGTTATGAAGGACTAATGAATGAATGAGTTTTATGAAGTGTATGTGAATTTCGTAATGGTGAAGAAAAGTTTGTGGCTGTCGATTTAGGATTACCTACAAGGGTTTTATTCACAGAAAGTTAGTTGAGGCAGGAAAACAGTTTAATAGGCCTTTCGTGATAAGTCATATAATAATCGTAATTGCTATTTTTCTGCCGTTGTTCAGTTCATTACTAAACAAATAGCATATTAATAAGTTGCTTACTTCATTAGCTAACTAGGAGAAGTGATAAATAAACTGTGTTCTTCGTTAACAGAAGCCAACCAGCCGAGAGATCTACAAAACTAAACTTGAAGAAGGAATTAGTTTACTACGAAGCAACCTGAATCGTACCATTGTTTCCATTGTGTCGATGTGGAACCCAGAGTTGACTATCGATGCCAGATCGCTAATTGAGGAGGGGTGGGCTTTTTTCTATTTTACGTGTTTTATGTCGAAGATCCGTTTTCATTTTGTGCCAGGTGTGACATGACATAGTGCATTTGGTTAAAGTTCGTCCATTTAGTTTCATATTCATCTCATCCCAAAAAGTAGTTCCCACATTGAATTAGGGTCGGTAAATTAGTGGTAGACTCCACGGGACAGAAACACCCTATCATCCACTACATTATCGTTCTATATCATTCGACAGGCTAGACGCATAAGTCAATTTACGACTAGAATACAAATAAATTGCGACAGTTCGGCTAAATGCCCAACACTGTGTTAAGTCCTTTATTTTTACTCTTGTGATTTAATATCGTATTGAAGACGTTATAGTGAAAATGCATAATTTTATCGTTGACAGATTTTCTTATATGGCCGTTTCGTGTAGGGTGCGTTCCCAGGTGTTGTTGATTGTTGGTTGAACGTGACTGGATTGTGAGTGTGTACTTACTTTGACAGGCAGATGCATTCAGACCATGGGGTCGCACTATCCATAGTAATTGATGGTTTACAACTTTCGTATATCTTTATGCATTTGTGTCTGTGTGCGTGTCTGTCTGTGTGTGAGTTTATGTATGTGCGTGTGTCTACGTGTAAATGTTGTGTGTGTGTGTCCGTGCGTGCGTGTGTGTGCTTTTACACGTATGCGGGTTGTAGTCTGCACACTGTTTAAAAATCAGCAGTCATAATAGTTAGGAAGTACATGAGAAGCGCATCTGATTATCTAGAAAAAAATTCTATCGCACATCTACTGTTTGGAAACCCGAAAAACAAAAGATGTGTACCGCATCACCAGTAACAGCCGAATAAAAGGCTTCGTAAGAAGAGCGTGATGCTGTTAATGTCTATCAAGCGAGCTGAGCTCACTGGTCATTTCTGGGGTTTGATAACGGCGAATAGAGACTTTCATGGTAATTGCACGTGTCACTGTGTAACACTAAGCATCCGCTTTACAAATAATGTAAGGTGGTTCTTACCATCAACTTTCTTAAGTTTTCAAAGAGAGATCTAGCGCTGTACTCAGAACCTCTTGTTTTAAATTCGGTTGGAGCATAACGATATGGAGCATATGAACTTTTTTTTCTTTTTAAGATACTGAATACTGGTTGGGCAGCATTCTAGCTGGGAAATGCTAAAGCGTTCTCAGTTCGCCACTCTAAGAAGTTAGATCAGAGGGAAGTTTGCAGCGTTTTGACTAGGACTGCTACAGGCTGCTAGCAATTCTTGTGAAGGCAATGAATCCTTCGTTTAGTCGGCCACAGTGCGAAGACGATACATTGTAGTGGTTGACGAACTTAAACGGTTTGATTACTAGAAAAAATGCAGACCCCCCGAAAATATGCATATCGTTGTATAATTATTGATTTCTTAAATTTGTTGCAAGTTGGCCCTTAAACGTTTCAACACTTTGAGGTTTTGGTTACTAGCAGATTTCGCTTTCTGGGTTCGTTTAATTTGGCAGAAAATACTTGCTCTATGCTTCCGAACTAAATGAAGTAGCATTGATTACTACCAATCGTCTTTGTTTCTTTTTCCAAATATTCCATGACGGCATGTCTTCCATTAAATGCTTGTGACGTGCAAATAACGACACCCTCAAATTTCAAATTTGTATATTTAATCTCATAGTGGACTTTACCAATTAAACTGGAAGTCTTTGGATTGATTATACAGATCTTCTCTAACGAGGAACCTGTTCCACCGCTGAACTTTCTCAGTGAAGCTTTGATTTTCTGCAACCCCCGAAATACTTTCCTTCCTTTTTAAATATTTGTTATGCCTCCCAACGGTTTGCCGCCTCATCGTGGCTGGGAGGTGTTTCTGGGTTTCGGGCTGCGTTGTACAGTAGGGGGCATTCATCCCACTGGCAAGGTCTCTTAAGCTGAGGAGTTCGGCTTTTCCATCAGGAAACCAAGATAAGAGTAAACGAATACGAGGTTTCACCGTCGCTCTGGTATCAAACTAATCGCACTGTGGCAAATCTCCCTCGGATTCACACAGGCCGTCGACTCTCTGTGGTGGTTACCACTTGGAGCAGACTTGGCCAGACTGACTTCGGGACTGCAAGAGAGCACAACAGGTAAACCAACAAAACTCCAAAAATAGAGAACATGCTGAGGCCCGCCAAACAATGAGGACTAGCCCTTCAAATACCCAAGTATCCAATTTCGTCATGATTCATATTTCGAACACCGATGCAATTGAACAAGTGGAATTTTGTCGGCCTGTATAATATGGTGTTCTACAGTGTATCACTGATGTTTATGGCTGCCATGCCAACGTTGTAATCTTTAAAAGCTTGAATTTTTGACCTATGTCTTATTTTTTTGAAAATTTTAATTTCGCGCGATTTTGAAACTCAAGGGACGTTTTGTATGCTCTTGGTCCGATAGAGCACTTATTTCATTGGTCTGTGGTGTTTTCAAATTTTCACCAATTTTTTTGATCGTGTAATTTATCGTCTGTGGTCGAAAAACCATCTGCGCCGTGATTGTGCTATTTCCTTTTGAGGACAGTTGAAAAGAAAGATGGAAGAGCAAAGTTTTTTGAAATTTTTTGAAGGTTCCTATCGTCTGTATACTTAAGGAAGCGCATCCAATGTGGCGATGATTTTGTGACAAAACGGGATGCATTGTCTGCAGAATACAAAAAGGTTTAATTTCTCATTATTTTTCCCATTTTCTATCTTTCAATCAGCATTTCTATTGCGTCGAGTGTTGGCTAATCCCTTAGGGATTGCACCATGTATTCAACTTCATTACGGATTTTATAGGTGATTGTTTGCTAATATAGCTCATAAAATGACTTGAGGTGTTGTAACGATTTATCATACTAGTGTTGTTCATAGTTCCAAAAGAGTTCAGCGTGAGTTTGCACCGTGCGGAAACGCTTCTGGTTTTTCCTGGGTTGGGGTTCGAGCTAAGGGAAATGTGTATTATAGGCCACCCTTCACTATCATGCTATATGGTGCTTGATGGAGTCGAATGCATAGCGCAATCATAGGTGATTGATCAACACTGAACGCATCGTGAAGTGAAATAGCATTTGTTTTCTAGGTTGCATACGAACTTCAGAACGAAAGGCGCTTCGATCATAAAGATTTCACCGTGGTCGTCCAAGGGTTTATGGATGATATAAAGGATGCATTCCGTAATGTAAGATGTTAGCTTCAGTATGAACATCGCCAAATGTTGACGAGAAAATATGCAGTAGTTTAGGTTTTGCATTTGTATTAGGGCTGTGTGCGCTGCTGAAAATTTCATACGGCACCAGCTTTCAAGCAGCAATTGCATACTGGTAGTTTGAACTACGTCACAGGGTTTTTGAATTAGCAAGAAAAGGTGAAGGTTAAGGAGAAACGATTGAGTTCCGCCAAGGTAGAAGGATAAAAGTCAAGTGAGGAGACGTTTGCGATGCAACGAAGACAAAACATGTGTGTTACTTAAACACGCGGACTTTATTATTTACCTGCTTTTAGCTATTTGTCAAGAACCAACATTGAACCCAATGCATCGTTTGACTTTACAATTTGCAACTTTCAGATTTTCTACCTAGAATGTACAAAATTCTAGAAAAGTGGAGAATATGACAAGTCGTTCTATGCAAGCGACGTATTCCATTTGAGTAAGTACGGGAATGCTGTGGTGGGAAAGTTTCTTTGGAACAACCTGATCGAACCAGTTGATCAAAAGACTACAAAAGCCGATCTGGGGAACGATGACTTTCCTATTAAGTGTCCTTCAAAGGTGTGTCTTTATGTTTTTTACACTCCCTGTTTGAAATAGGCGTTAGTTCTTTAGAATTCTCGGTGCATTTTAGTCATAAATAACTTGCTATTTTCAAAGTGGTCCATTTCCTTGTTTCACCGATAGCTTTACCGCTTTCTGTAGTGTTAAAAATAAGGTCGCGTGTTCAACGAGATTGTGATGTAAGGAGTTCACCTTGAGACAAAGAACCTGTTCCCCTCTATCATCTGTTAAATTGTTATTCATTGATGTAATCGAGTGTGCATGATAAAGCATACTCACTGCTAGCCTGTTGAACTCTCCTGCTGTAAATGAGGTGCCTATGCCAAAGATGACTTCAAGAATCCTTTTATCCCTCGTCTCTTGGTTGCAAGTTTTTCGCCTCGTCGAAGGGTAAGAGGATACAGTCTGCATGTGCTAATCCTCACTTCATGTATTGACGAATATGATTGAAGAATGCGGAATAAGAATACATATCATACAAATTACAATATTCATTGATGTCAGTGCAAGTTCTTTTTTAATTCAGTATATGGGAGGCACAAGTGAACTAGGGACAGCTGAAATAAGACGCAGTTCCCATGGGTTCACGTAGGTATTAATATGGTCGCTTTTAGTATTCGCTACTTCTCCCATTACCAAGAAATTTGGCATTGCGACAAACGAGCTGAAAATTTCTCACATGCATAAGGTCCTTGTTTCTGCAAATCTTCTGGATATAAACTGTGAAAATCCTATTGTTTTTTCGATTTTTCGTAGTAAACCTATGTTAAAACGGGTGGTCAAAACTCGATATTGGTTATGTTTAACCGAGGGGAATCTATTATACATATTTTCTTTATTTATTTCACAGGACCCACCATCACACTTACTCTAAGGGTCCCACCAGTTCCCGCTTTTCGATTCGCATTCTTCGCATTCATCGTCTTCGGCGACATTTCGCTTATCGTTTCGGCTGCATTTGAGGATTCCACTTTCTTTATGGTTGTCGTAGAATACTGTTTGAGTCGGTTCACCTTCGAGTCTTGGAGATAGCCTGGCTAATGTGCCACGTGGTTTGGATGCATACTTGGATGGCTCGTGTAAGCACAATCTGCATTCATTTTTCTCTCGCGCAATGTTCGTCGATGGTGGTGATCTGCTTCGCGCATGATGACTTCAATGAAGCGCATTTCGTGATCTTGAGATCATCTCATCTTCGAATGCGCAGGGTTAGATCACGAACATCCCATGTGTACTTCACCGTCGATGTGTATTTTCCTAAATTCTGAGAACAGGCTAGGTTTCAAAGATCTGAGCTGCGGGCGCCGTTTAAACGTGGTAATTGCCGATTAAATTTCAAAAAGATACCGTTGAAAAGATTTACGTGTGGTGCGCAGAGTTTTTTATGTAGCTGAAGCATCAACCCACGTCTCTGCTGCATAACAGAGAGCTGGGAGGACTGCTGAGCTGAAAAAGTGGGCGCAAAGTTGTGGATCCTTTAGTTGTCTTCGTTGAGAGCAGTGAATGTGTCCTGTACTGGTCTTCTTCTTCTTTCTAATCCTTCTTCATGTTGTTCTTAATATTCATTGAACGTCCAAGAGACACGTACGAGGTAGTCTATGTTGTAATCTAGGGACTGTTCACCTTCGAACCATCCGCGGAAAACAAAAAAAGCGTCCTTTTCCTTCTTCTCTGAACTTCTCAGACCACCCTGATATGTGCCCACAATTGCTGACAGCGTATCCATTAAGTGTGTAGTGTTCAAGTGTAATGAGATGTTTTTAACTATTTCCGACGTGAAGTGAACGGATAGTCTGTTACGACGATCCATCTCAGTTTGAACGACGGCAATATAAAATTTCTCACTCAGAAGTTTAATAGTTTGGAAATTTAACATAATGCTTGGAGATTACTGAAATGTGAATAGACTTAAACCAATGCTTTTAAGCGGCATTTTGATCCATTTAGGAACGACCTTATATACAAACACTTGGGAATACAGAGCTATAACCTAAGTGTTCTGCTTGTACTGCTGCCGTTCTGAATTTAAAGCAGAGCGGAATTCTACAGTGCATAAACGATGCAATGTTATCCAGTATCATCGTTATGCATTACCGTTTATGTGATCTTGCTAAGGGTTTGCCGTTATAAATATCTCCAGAAATGAGAATAAAGTTTTGCCTTTTTTCTTCTGAGTGTACTTGAGCTTTTCTCTCTATCAAGCTACGAAAAGAATTCACTGAATCTATGCATTCAGTATCGATTTGTCATTTACATTCCATAGATAGTACAAGGAGGTAAAGAAGTAAAGGAGTGGTTTACATGTTGTAGCGTACGCGTCAGAGTTAAACGTGGAACTAACTACAGTGTTAGATCGAGCTAGATATGGTAGTCCTGGTTTTTTCGTTATTATTGATTTTTGTCGGCTGGATCTATGAACCGTTAGCTTAGGTCGGTGGATTTCAAAGCAATCGGGTTTTACGTTTTATTTTCTGCGTTCTATAATTTTTATGGCAGGGTATTAAGCAAAATACAACCACAATGTTGCTGAGGTATTTGAAAAACTCCGGATCGCATGTGTCTGCGGTGGGGAATGAACGCGGTATTAACCTTACCGGAGACTAACGCGTTCACCACCACGCCATTTAGGTGCTTCATTTCGTCTGTCTTTCAGGTAGTTCATATTATTTACTATTTTTTCCTACATAGTTTCTTCGTCTTTGTTTTGTCGATTTACGGGACGTTGTGCGTATTTTTTTTAGTGTAGTTCTAAGTTGGAGATCACGGGAAGGGCAAACCATTTCAGTTTTATGGTTTTTATCGAGTTAAGATTTAAAAATAGGGTTACCTGATCTAAATTAAGCCATTCTTCTTTCTAGGAGTGCCAGCAGTAGTTTGCCTTACTGAAATGCTTGGATGGTTTATTATCTTAGATAGCACTCAGATTATAACCATTGTCTTGCAACTACTATCTATGCAGTTGTTCGGGTTCGTTTGTGGGTTGAAGTTATATGGGCTCCACTCCTTATTGTTCAACACTAACCAAGCGCAGATTACTATGGAATTTCGAGAAGTCATGTTGGGAAAGTTGCCAAGTCTCCATCAAGGGAATTCGCCGGAAGACGGTTCGCTTCCTCACAGATTCCTCCGCTGTGACAATTGTTCCTGTCGTGGCTTTTACTCGTCTAACTGATTTTGAATGATTTAACAATGAATCACATGGCTTGTTCTTAACACGCAGTTTATAAAGCACACTTCAAAAGCTATTTAACTGATTTTATTCTTCTTGAGAGTAACAAATACCCGTATATGCACATATTGGCCGTAGATAGTGACTGACGCGAGTGAATCTACAAAAAAACGTATCGGTCTACTAACTTTAGCTTTGTCAAGATTTTAAATGAATTATACCTTGCTAACTCGTTAGCTGGACATCCCTTCGTTCCAAATGACGTTATCGCCAAGAGCATACTACGACCGCGTTCGTCAATTTGTTCCATTCCCGAACCACTATCACCCTTTAAATGGTAGTCATTGATATAATAAGCTCGCAACGAACCGTTTTAATCTTCATCATTTAAAACCAGGTAAACCTAGGTGTTTTGCATTGTAAAGTTGTCTACAACAATGTTGAGGTAGAGTTCTCTCTAGTATCCTATATCCCTTTAATTTGTTGTTACATCTTAGAAGATGGTGTCAAATTGTTAAATTCCAAACTAAAACTTCATTTTCATTAAGTTTCATAGGTTTTAGTGTAAGGTTTATAAAGGTTACATTGCGTGTTTGCCAAACTATACACTAAGCCTTTACAAGCATGTAGTCCTCAAGTACACCGGGCCAATTTTATAGCGCGACACCATTTAGAGATTGCTTAGAAACAGTGATATCATATGATAGCTTTGAATTATTGGGTAGGTATATTTATTTGTGTGATCCTATAAACTGATTTTGTTGAGCCAATGCGAGGCTGGTATAGGTCTTCTTTGTTGCTGTAGGTGTTATTGTCGTTGCTGTTAGTGCTGTTGGTTGGTTACTGACGTTTAGGCGATTTCGCCTTCCTCAGAGCCGTGCTGTTGTTAGTGGGACTATCCAGTGTCGCGGCTTTGAGGAAGGCGAAGTCGCCGAAACGTCAGCCATCGACCAACAACACCAACACCAACACCAACATCAACAACAACACCAACAACAACGACAACGGCAACGAAGACCTATACCAACCTCGCATAAGAAGATCAACTTATAAGATCATATAAATAAATATATCAACTATTTATGCCGAGGTTTATAGAAAGTTGGTCTTTTGAGTTACTTGGTAGTTATTCATGTACAAAAAGTTTTGCATAATTTCATTCATTTTGTAGCAAATTTTCTACCAAGAAACAGTGAGAACTTCATTAAGTTCTACGGCTTACATGACATGTTCTCGGTGAGAAGAAGTCGGCTGTGTTCAACGAGGTGGCGCAAATGTAGTCCGGTGCTTCAGATGGCAGCTTGAATAGAATTGACGTAAATTTGTGGACCACACATAACGAAAAGTTTTTGGCAATACGCTGCAATAAAATGACGAATAACCATAAGCAGTGTTGTAATTTAAAACCTTATCATTCCATGGTCGGTAACAAGTTGGATCGATAATCATGGGAATTTCGTGAACCATGGGTCCGCTTTCGTTAAACACTGAAATTTTTGATTTTTAAATTCATAAACTCAGTAAAGACCTCGATTTTTTTTTTGAATAGTAAAAGCGATTTCGCTCATGACGTTGTAGTTGAGCAGTCGCCTAACTAGTCGCAGTACTCGCTGTTGTCCTTTTCTCTTAACTCACGGATCTCTCTCATAGAGGGATCTCATGCCGGTTATAGTGAGGCAACGTGGCGCGTCCCTAAATAGCAGACAAGGGAGTTAATTCCGGACCAAAGCGATCTCGTGCTTCTCTGAAACGCAGATAGATCTAGTGGATGGACTGCATGCTTCTGTTACCCCTATTTGGCACATAGCGTCTGTATTTACGAAGGTGTATTCATACATACATGTGTGCGGATCTGTACTCGTTTATGCGGATTGTATCCTGGTAGTCAGTTTGGCCACCAGTTTAGATTCACCTCCAACAAATAAGCTCTATGTCTACTCTGGGCAAGAGTGGTAATCTACCCGTGAGTATACACAAACCCCATGTTCAGAGCTTAGCGAGCAATACGTGGGTATCAAAAAGCTAAACACACTAAAATAAACGAGCCTAGTTCTCCTGACGCCGAAAGAGCCTCCAAATCGGCAGCGTTGGGTAGAGCAAATAACAGAAAGGCCGCTAAAACCTCAAGGTTATCCTAGGCTGCCTAAGCCGCAAATGGCTTAGGTAACGATCTCTGCCTACAACGCCTACAATGCACGCACACTTGCATCTGAGTCCTCTATAGAGGACTTCATCATGCAGGCAAGAAGGATACAATACAAAGTCATCGGACTGGCTAAGACCAGAAGGTGGCGACCATTCAGCGCCATCTATGACACCGGAGAAAAAGTGTTCCTCGGAACACGCGACAGTGGAGGAGTCGACTGTATCGACGTTCTCGACGACTTGGCCATGATCATCGATTTACATAATAATTAACAACCCGAATCAGACGTTTATGGTTGAAGGGATGTGGATTAATACCAGCTTTGACAGTCTTTCCTGCTTATGCGTTGACATCAAACTATGACGAAGAAGAAGTCGAAGCGTTCTATATGGACTTGGCGAAGTTCTACAGAGAAGACCACACTTCTTCAAGGTCATCATTGGAGATTTCAACGCCAAGATTGAACCAAGAAGGACATCTAAAGAACGTCACATAGAGACCAAAAGACTAGAATACAACGAACAGCTTTTGTCCGAGTTTATCATGACGACCAAAACCATCCATGATAACTCGCAATTCCAGAAGTCCCACCATCAACGCTGTGCGCTGGAGTCTCCCAGTGGAGATTGCCATAACGAAATATTTTGCTTACCGATGTCGCTGTTGTCCCAAAGTTCTACATGGGATCAGGCCATCGCCTCCTTCCCACAAGATTCCGTTTCTCGCGGAGAAGGGAAAAAACTGCTAAATTCAAGAAACGAAGTCCCAAAACCACTACAAACTAGAACTTTTTCAATTCACTAGTCGGCTTCTGGGAGGGTGGTGTTATTGATATCATCTACGAGGAGTACGATCGGCCCACTCAACACCTTCACGTCAACGCTGTGAAATCTGAGATTTTTAAAGCCTCCAAGAAACGTCTGTCTCCAGAAACACTCAACGCGATACGTTAGTGTGGAATTGAGCGAGCTAGAGTCGAGCGCCCGCTGTATTCCGAACCTGCAAAGCAATGTGAACAGATTCAAGGCTGTTGTTGAATGGAAGACCAGCAAGAGTTTGGCCAAAATCCTGTGTTATTGTTCAATAAGCGTTACCTACACGTTATCGGCAACTATCGCCCAACCTGCTTGCTGTCTGTCGTCTACAAACTTTTCACTCGAGTCATCCTAAAAAAGATTGACAGAACACTGGACGAAAGACAGCCATGTGAGCAAGCAGGGTTTCGAAAAGGATTAAGTACGCTGGATCACATCCACACGATAATAAGAATTAGTGGAGTATCGCGAGAGTTAAGAGACCTCTCAGACTCACTTCCATCTATTTAAAGAATGCTTCTGACTCAGTTGAGATAGAAGCAGTTATGGAAGCCCTTGATAGTCGAGGTGTACTTACTTAGTACACAGTTTTTTCGCGAGCTTTATAAAAAATTGATGACCAAGATATCACCATTCTATAAAGATATTAACATTGATGTCAAAGTAGGGAGTAGGAAAGATGGTGCCATTTCACCAAAACTGCTTTGCCACACGCTCAAAAACGTCATGCAAACCTTTGAGCGAGACAATATCGAAGTGAAAGTCGGTGGTCAGCAATTATAATTAATTGGTTAGTTGGTTATTTGTTAATTAATCATCGCTCTAATAACGACATCGTTTTCATAACACCAAGCACTAGTCGGGCGGAACGAATGCTCGCCGATTGGGAAGATTGGTTTTCGACTAAATCTCGCGAAGACAATGTTCATGAGGAACGGATTGGTTTCATATGGTCCGCTTATGTTCACCGGAGTGAATATGCCTATCTATTTAGGTCGGGAAATCAACATGATAAACGGCTTAGCTCTGGAGTTGAGCAGAACGAAGCGGGTCGCTTGGGGAGTTTTTGAGAACATTGAGGATGTAGTGAAGAGAACAAAGAACACCATTCTTCGTGCTCACCTTTTTACTACACGATTCTTCCTGCATATTCGTCAGGAACATGGCCGCTACTTAAACAGAATGAATGATGTCACATGTGAAGGAAGGGATTCGAAGCTCCGACCTATGTCAACGGATCAAAAATCAAACATGCCGTTCTATACACCAGGTTGGCGAAGATAGGGGTAAACCATACACGTAATGTGTAAGAGCGACTACTGATGGATAAGAGCCGATACTGGTTGGATTCTTCGCAATGTCAGACGTACTGCAGAACGACCCGATAGTTAGAGTTCTTCAGGAAAAGCGTATAAGAAACGTATGATACTCAATGAGTTGCTAGAGTGAATTTTTGCACCTACTAGACTACTCTTGCACGCAACAAGAAAAAATGGAAGATTTACTGACGCCCACTCTGGCTATTTAACGACCAATGAGGTCACAGATGATAAATTTGTTCCATACGATAGCAAACTTTCCTGTGCCCCACAAAAAAAGATTGCTTCCCTGTTAACTACTAGTGGTGTCCACCTGAGAATGCATATCACTGTTTTCCTAGGTTTTCAGGGAAAATTACGCTCAAGCACCATTAAGAATATTTCATTTGGTTATTTTACATGACCCGTCATCATATCTGCTGTGCCGATCCCAGCTCTTCTTGCATTTGATTCGTTTTCCTCGCATTCATCCTCACAACGGTCTCGGGCCATTTCACCTGTTGTTTCGGCTATTGTTTGAGAATTTCATCTTCTTTACGAATGTCGTAGAATGCTTCTATTCGATTCTTCTTGAGACCTTGGAGATAGCCGGACTAAGGCGTTTCCACGTGCATTGGAGGAGAGCATAAGAGAGGGGTTTGAACTAGAGCTTTCGCTTCCTGATCGATGGCACTACTAACCACTGCTCTATCCCCTCTCTTCTTTGATAAACGGTTAGAAATTCTGAAATCCTTGCTGAACCCATAGACGAATTGACCACGTCTACAGACGAGAACTGTAAGAAAACAAAACGAATGGAGGAAATACAGGGAGCCGCATGACAAGCACGTAACAAACACGAGTTGTGTAGGTATCTGAGTAAGTAAGTGTAAACAACAACCTAATGAAATAAAAGCCGATGTAGAGAGGTTTTCATACATCACCGTTTTTTCACTAACACATAAGTTACCACTTCAGTAGATGCTCCAGCTTGGCTCACTATGTTCCTGGTAACCTTAAACGCTTCTTAAGTTACCTACCGTAACTTCTCCCCCATCCAGTAACAGTCACCAAATGTCCGATAGTTGGGCGAAGTGGAGGCAAACATATGGGACGTACGGAGTCGGAAAAGTTGATTCTGAACGTGTTCTTGTAATATCAGCTTTACTCGAAGTATTTTGTGCCTTCTGGCAATAGATTCAATTAATACCATCCTATCGCCTATTTGTCTAGGTGCATAAGCTCCAGCAATGTGAAACTTTATGTTTATATTTACTTACTTACTTACTTGATACTTGAATAGCCCCTTCTCACTAGTTGTGCGCCCTAGCACAATTTCTGTTTTTTCGGAGTTTTGCTAGCCCACTGTGGTTTTCTGGAGCTCCGAAGTTAGGTTGGCCAAAGTATGCCACAGATCTTCACCACCACAACTAGTCCCCGGCCTGTGTGGATGAGAGGGAGATTTACCACAGTGCGACTAGTTTGATACCAGAGTGGTGGTAGATCCTTGTATTGGTTAACTCTTAGCTAGGCTTCCTGATGGAAAAGCCGGACTCCTCAGCTTGGGATACCCTACCAGTGGGACGAATTCCCCGCTGTAGATTGCAGCCCGACACCCAGGTACACCTCCCAGCTACGATGAGGCGGTAAGCCGTTGGGAGACATGTTTATATTTAAGTTTAGTAAATATCTCGTACCTTTTTTCCACTTCAATAATTGCCCAATCGTGACCGTTATGACATTCGTTTGTGGCAAAGTCTTGGTCAATCATTACGCTCCGAATCTGACGAAAGCAGAAACATCAAACACATTTAAAAATACGTGGGACAGAGTTGTGACGATTGCTGACAGATGAAACGACATGTTTAAAAAATAAAGGACGATTAGAACAAAAATAAGAGCAGAACTTCCAAATTTGGCTGGATGTGAACTACCGAAAAAAATCAATGATTAAATATGTAAGAACAAAAGTAAACAGGACGTGGATCGCTGTGATCTCTATTCATTACGCAAAATCGAGTTAACCTTTAGGACTATTGTATTAAATCTTACTTTTCACTTGTTGCAAAAGTAAAAAGTAGAAAAAAAAGTAAAAGCCTTCTTTTAGATTTGATTTTATCTCTATGCTTTAGCGAATTCATAGCTTTTCACTGGAAGGAGAAAACAACAATTCACTTTGTTGTACGTGACATCCGGAACGCTACAATTCGGATGATTCGGTAGGCTATCGCTGTGACCACGTATGCATCTGCCACCGTACGCGACCATTCTCTCTTGAACCTCTTCATATGTTCGATATTTTGCCATTCTTAACACTATATCATCAATCAATCAATCAATCATTATTAACAACTTAACATAAGATATTGTTAAAAGTTCCTATTTTGGTTGAGCTTAAGACCCTTTTCACTTAAGCGGTATAAGCGAAAATAGAGATAGAGGCGCATTCCCATTCAGCTTAGAAATTAAATTATGGCCCTCAATTGGTCTAATATTGTTTAAGCTATACAAACAATTACTTTCTATTTTTTGCAAGAGTTATTTTAATCCTCGAAATCAGTGCAGTCGAGTATTGAGAAGAGTTCCGTTACATATTGGCCAGAAACTTCGTAATTCGATAGGGGCGGGTCAAAATAGTTGGAATCCGAAACACAAGTCAGAGTCATAGGGAGCAGTGGGGGAAAGCCAGAGCTTTTGAGCTTGATGAAGACGTCATTGATTTCTTGAAATCCGACGCAAACGAGTCAAAATTCTTGGAACTTGTTATATTTTAGCCAGAATTCTTCGAATCGAATACATGGAAGCTGGAATTTTTACGACCCAGTATGAACGATAATTCGCACTGCAGCAGTGGGTCTTATGTTAGCCAGCACATAGCGAATAGGAAAACAACTTTCGGACCGATCGTCCTTTAACCTCGATAGCAAAAGTCAAGATACGATTATCCGTTGAAAAACAAGTTACTATCAACAAGTAGTCATATCCACAACAACCGCCCATTATAAAAGGTCAGGGCGTTGTCAACGTGCTTTATTCGTACCGTATTCCACTGAAGATCTGTATGGGTATAACTGCGAAGACGCCACATCGAGAAGACGAGCAACTGCGGACTATCGCCTTGGATCATCGGCTCTGATAAAGACAAAGGCGTTAGAATGTTAGTCGAATAAATTTATTTATCAGGCTCCAAGAAAGCTATACGAGAACAACTCTTCGATAACTTGCAGAAAAACTCGACGTAAGCATTTCAACTACGATGACGCTGTGATATTTGCAAAAGTTGAGGTGTATGCAGCAGGAATCGAGCATCGCTATTACCCTTTCCAGTTCTAACGTACTCACCATCATCTCCACACCATGCGCGTCCTTCGTTTGGCCTTTCTGTCAGCCGCGTTCTATAGGCACTACCAGCAATCACCTGTCAATGGAATTGATCTGGGAAGTACAAGTCGGCATTCAGCCCAGTTAATCCGAAGCTGTAGTGTAAGTCACAATGTAACCACTTTTTATTTATTGTCTTTTCTTTCTGGATGTTCCACAGATGGACGCCATACGAATTGAGTGACAATCAACGAAATTGCCGTTTTGGAGCACTGTGTGCAATCCCGCGCAACCAGAACTATCATTTTCTCGACCATGATGTGACGTGCGACGAAAACTGGGTGCTGATCCATATTCGGTGATAGCAGTGCTTGAAACGTGGTAAAGCTTTATAGCACTTCCGGAAGCCGTAATTTCATTAAAAGATGGTCATACACGTCATACTTGGCGGCCTGCAGCTGGTTTGATCAGTCACAGCTTCCTCAACCTGGGTGAAGCGATAACGGCGAATTTTGAACATTAAATCGAGAAAATGCGCAGCTTCCCTCGTCGTTTTTCAACACAAGGGCACTAGCGTTTCTTCACAAGGCACTAAAGCGAAAATGCATATCGCTCTAACGGCCCTGCAAAATTTGAACGAGTTGTCTATGACCACCGTCTTATCCACTACACCCGCCAGACCTATCTTCTACCTACTACCATTTTTTTGGGCATGTCGACAACTCTCTTTACTAGAAATGCCTCAGTAGTCAAACCGGTTCCGGAGCTGCTTTCAGCGACTTCATCACCTTCAGAAGTCTAGAATTTCATGAAAACGCTCTAGAGAAACATTGGATTGCTCATTGGCAATAATGTATTGACTTCAGTAGTTTCAATCTCCTTAATAAATTGCGTTTTGAAATGAGGTGGTTCCACTTTGGAAATACCGCTTCAAATCGGACATTACCATTCATGGGAGCCACTAGTTCGAAAGAACTGCCTGCAATTGTATTTATGGCGAGCTGTTAATAACACCTGTTTTTTCCATTTCAACAGAAAACTACTTTTTGCACATTTTTTAAAATTCTTCCAAGAACATTTTAAAAGATAATTGACAAGTTACGAAAATAACTGCAAAGTCTTTTCCAATAAAACAATTTGACAGCGTACATGCAAGGACTATCATCACCAGGCTGAAATGTCATAAATCCATGTGCAACCGTGAGAATGTGGTATGGAGAGATAATAGAACCACCAAGTCGATTCAAACCATTCTGAAAGCAGTCTTATGTTATAAAAAATTCATGTTCGTACTGTAGAGCATCTTGTTATGCTAGTTAGGCTGTTTTAGATGAGATGGATATTTCGTCTATCAGCAAAAAGATCTCCATTTCATAGAGAAAAGATGCTGAATTACAAGTTCCTGAAGAGAAGTCGTCCTGCAGAAATTACTATGCACGAGTTCAATGCACAGACAGAAAGTGAAAGGACGATAATACAGAGTTGCTTCCTTCCCAAGAAGAACGGCGATCACGGCCAGATGTAAGGATCCCCAAACAGTAGAACTCACGCAGAGTTCCATCATATGCAACATTGGTGACGCCTTTTCCATTGGCTCACATCATGAACTTCTTCGTGAGAAGTTTCTCCTTATCCAAAAGAGTTGAAAAGAAATCCGTTTTCAACCACAAAATAAAAAAGAATTTAGATTTCTGAGTCCTCCAAGAGGAAAAAATGGAAAGAAACGGCACACAGTAAATCATTTTGGTGCGATATCGTATATACTAAATCTAGACTGGCGCAAAAGAGAGAACTCTAAAGAACTTATGCTGATTTAGACCTTGAGTTAGAGCTGAGAAAGTCCTTGCTAAGACAAAGGCAAGCTCCAAACCCCTATCAATCAAGCCTAAACAACTTCTGCAACAAAGAAGGAAAGGTCTGTCTATGAAACACATCGTGTAGTCATCAAGAGTTAAAAAAGGCTGCTTCAGATGATTTTCATCATTACTGACTAGTGACGAAAGGTGGACGTCCACCTTCCGTCAAATGAAATAAAGGAGGATGGATATGTTGCACCACCGGTTCTCCCTTCCGAAATCCGACATGCCATTTTATGCGTGAAAAATCGAACAGGTCAGGACAGAATAAGAACCAGAACACCTAAAGAACCTTCGGCCAGTCCTCGTAAACACACTGGCTCGGCTCTTCAAACGCTACCTGTCTGAATGCAGGGTTTCTACTCAGTGGATGACCAGCAAGATCGTGTTATTGTTCAAGAAAGGTGACCTACACGATATCGGCAACTATCGCCCAATCTGCTTACTGTCTGTCGTCTACAAACTTTTCACTCGAGTCATCCTAAACAGGATTGACAGAACACCAGATGAAGAACAGCCATGTGAGCAAGCAGGGTTTCGAAAAGGATTTAGTACGACGGTCCACATCCACACAGTAACACGGTTCATTGAAGTAACGCGAAAGTACGAAAGACCGCTCTGTCTCACTTTCATCGACTTACAGAAGGCCTTTGACTCAGTTGAGATAGAAGCAGTCTTCGGAGCCTTTGATAGTCAAGGAGTTCTTACTCAGTACATAAAGATTCTTCGTGAACTGTACAAAAATTTCAAAAATTTCACAAGCAAAGTACCACCGTTCTGCAACGATATTAACATTGGCGTCAAAAGAGGAGTTAGGCAAGGCGATACCATCTCGTCAAAATTATTTACCGAACGTCATGCGAACACTAGAATGGGACAACGTGGAAGTGAAAATCGATGGTCGGCAGTTACACCATCTTCGCTTTGCTGATGACATCGTCCTTATAACACCAAACATTGACTAAGCGGAACGAATGCTTGACGACTTTAATAAAGCCTGTGGAAAGATTGGTCTTCGAATAAATCTCACAAAAATGATGTTCATGAAGAACGGATTGGTTTCGTATGCCCCATTCACGCTCAAGGGAACGAATATCTCCGACTGCTCCAGTTACATCTATTTAAGTCGGGAAATCAATACGTTGAACGACTTAGCTCCAGAATTGAGCAGAAGAAAACAAGCAGCTTGGGGAACTTTCAAGAGCATCGAGGATGTAGTGAAGAGAACAAAGAACACCCGACTTCATGCCCACCTTTTTGACTCAACGGTACTTCCTGCCTTAACGTATGCGTCAGAAACCTGGTCGCTGCGTAAGCAGGACGAAGAGTCACTCAGCGTCATCGAACGCGCAGTCGAAACAACGATGCTAAGAGTATCCCGTTTCACACAAGTAAGGGATGGGATCCGAAGCTTCGACCTGCATCAACGATCAAAAATGAAAGATGCCGTTCTGTACGCCAAACAGTCGAAGATAAGGTGGACCGGACACGTAATGCGCATGAATGACAACCGTTGGTCAAGAGCCGTTAGTGACTGGATTCCTCGGGAAGTAAAACGTACTGCAGGAAGACCACCGACCCGATGGTCAGAGTTCTTCACAAAGAGCCTTGAAGAAAGATATGATGCTCGACGAGTCCCTAGTGCGAGCAGCACCTACTGGGCTATTTTTACACGCAGCAGGGAAAAATAGGTTTACTGGCGCCAGCTCTAGTTATTCGACGGTCAACGGGACTACAGGTGATACAGGTGACTGACTAGTGAAAAAAAGCGGATGTGGCGCAGTGGTCGGCGACTCCCTACAACACACACGAGGAATCGATCTTCGCGCTCGCGGCCCACCAAGCTTTCTATTTCACCGGGGTAGACAAGTTGGTACCACGCTTGTCTGAGAGGATAGCAGCAATGGCTCGATACATGGTAGGACACCTCGAGACATTGTGAAGGCCGGGTATGTATTCAATCACCTCCAAACGGAACTTAATGAAGTCGAATGCATGGCCTATCCCTCAGGGATTGATCAAGGCTGAAAGCTTTTTAGAGCTTTTATTGACTAACGAGGGTTTTTGAAGAAGCAGAAAAGAAAAACATTAAGAAGTGTTTCGGCTATCTTTTGTCCAACATTCCACTCC